ATAGGGTGGATACTTATTTAATCTCTCTAGGAAGAGAGTTCCAGAGATGGGAGGCCACCACCAAGGTCCTCTCCCTCATCCCCACCAACTGCGCATGTACAGCAACAGCCCTCATGAGTCCATAGCATTGAACAAAGGCAATTAAAGTGGAGTCATTCTACAACAGAGATGCACCCCATTGCTGGAAGATTTGGCATTCCAACACTTTTGTTTTTCAAGAAGAAATTCTATAACTATAGCAACGACACTGGCCAAAGACAGCACTTTTTGCCGTTGCATATTACGTTAGGCAGCAAATCCTTTTTTGTTTTCAGGGTTTTGAAAATTGTGTTGTGCACTATATTCAGTGAGGCATTAGATATGGGTATTCTGGATCTGCATGGTCTTTCACAATGAGGTCATAGATTTCCAGATGGAAAGTGGTCCCAACAAGGGTTTGCCTGATGCTGATTATAGTCTACAGAAAACACTGCTATCTCTGTTGAGATATCCGAGGCTTAAAAGTCATACAGCATTTCCATAAATACTGAAAATGCATTGAATATATTAAGGTTTCTTCCATAACATCAAGTCTACTAAGCTGTCAAGTTCAGTGCCTCCTACATTTACTATGATCCCATGATCTCAGGGAAAAGTATTTTTCTGTGCTAATATGGTGTAATGCAAAGGCAAATGCAAACTTCTTCTGAAATCTGAGAGAATATTTGAAGGCATACATGCCACCTGACAACCTTTGGCTAGTGATGTCAGTCAGAAAATGTATATATCTTTATATGGAAAACTTAGATGTCAGGGGAAAAAGCCTAAACCAGCATCATCCCTTATGTGATTGTTATCAATATTCAATAAATTTTATTTTGCTTTATTGAAATGATACTGAAAAGAAATTATCCTCCATGTACACTATTGAAGTGGTACTCGGGAAGATATTTTTGACATGTGTTTTGATTTCTCTACTTGCAGAGAAAAACCTATTTAATTCCATCTATTTACCAAATTTGGAAAACAAGCTCAGTCACCTTGTTTGGAATTCACTTTTCCATTTTGAATTTCATTTATACTCATCCTAAACTTCCTTAAGAAATGATGTAAGATATTTTAATTATTACAGCTTGGCAGGAAAAGATTCAACCTTTAGCTGAAATAGCAGGAAATGTGTTGCTTATTGTAGGTCTTTGAATGATCACCCAAGAACTCATGCGTCTAGCCTTCTTAACTCATTGAACCAAACCTGAAAAATTTTCAAACTGAGTATCCTTTGTCAAGAACCTCACACAGGCTTACACCAGAAAGAACTGCTAAAATATTTCGGTGAGAGCAACATATACGTAATCAGATCAAGGAAGATATAATAATAAAAGAGAAATGAAAATCAAATGTACATATTATAAGTTCTAATAATTCTGAAGGAGATTGTAAAACTTTTTAAAAGAAATAGGTAAAGAAGATGCTGACCTAGATGTATCATATGTACACTAATCAACATGCCAAAAAAGAAATTGGTTCACAAGCTGACTTAAAATACAGATAACCTTTTAATTTTAAATCATACATACTTGTTCTTCTGAAGTGCGTACCATCTTGGTCACCATTACAGCTTCTGTTTCTTCAAAGTGTTGTGAATTAAACTGGCATTTTAAATTTGTTTCTGTTATTTGTGTACAGTCATCATCTGTTTGATCTAGATCTTTTTCTACCATAGTATCCTTTTCTAGGGGGTGGGAAATGGCAAATGGTGCTACAGATTCTGACAAGCAGTTCAACGCTCGGAAAAGCTCTGCTGGTATGTCACTGCTTTCCTCATTTCCAAATGGATCCATAGACAGAGCATAATCCTGATATCCCAACAGTTCAATCATTTGTTGAGTCTCAGAATCAGTGAGTGGTTCCATTACAAATTTTTCCAACTCTTCAGCAAACTTTGTAGTTACACCACATGGCAGTGTTTCAAGTGGTGGACATTTGTCTGTCGTATCTTTTCCTTTACTAGCAATCTCAGAACTCTGAAAGACCTCCTTTGGCTCCGTACATTTTGTTATTGAGTCCTCTACTATATCCATGGCTGAAAGAAGACTTCTTTCTGGAGAGTCTTCATTATTTAATCTCTGTGAAAACTAAATAAGAACATAAGCTAAATGAAATTGTTTCCTTTTTCACAAAACCCAAGGACTCTTGCTCATACTTTCCACAGATCTATGAGAATACCAGGGCAATATACATTTTCTAAACCACAGGCTTAAATAATGGCTTGCTAATATAATAATTTACAAAATATTTTTCATAGGCATGCTAAGCGGAATTATTCATAGCTTTGGGTTGCTATGAGTTTTCCGGGCTGTATGACCATGTTTAAGAAGCATTCTCTCCGGATGTTTATTTCTTTCTCCCACCCTGGACATTTCACAGATATATAAAGCTCACTTGCCTAGTTTCTAACAGACCTCACAACCTCTGGAGATGCCTGCTGTAGATGTGGCCAGAATGTTAGGAGTTAATGCTCCTGAAACATGGCTATACAACCTGGAAAACTCACAACAACCCAGTGATTCCGGCCATGAAAGCATTCGACAACACATTCATAGCTTTGCTTCCATGATACCTCTTCCAGCAATATTTTAAGCTTAACTGCATAGACGCACAAACTAAAATAATATATTATGTGTATGTATAATTCTCTAGTACGAATAGCACCACCAGGGCCCATATAAGTCTTATGTCATAGAGCTCCACAGCTGAAACTAAGGAGATCTGGTCCTCAAGTCAATCTAGTGCACCAACTGCGCCCCTTCCTGGAGATGTCAGATTTGGCAACAGTAGTAGATGCCTTAGTGGCATCTCACTTGGATTATTGTAATGTGTGAGGCTGATTCTGGAACTCCTTGACTAGAGATGTCAAGATAGCCCCATCCCTGGTCAGCAGGTAAAAGCATTTCTCTGCTATCGGGCATTTACAGACTGATGAGAATTGGACATTTAAAGCTGGTGTGATTTTAAGGATGGATGAATTAATTAATTAAGCTTTATTTATATCCTGCCCATCTCCCAAAGGTACTCGGAGCAGCTTGGTATACTTTTGAATATTTGTAATGTTTAATGGTTTTAATAGTATACATTATTTCAGTTTTTAAATTTAATATCTATATTTAAATATCATTGTATTACTTTTAATTAGCATCGCTTTATATTTATTGTAAGGTCCCGTAAATCGCTATATCAGGAAAAAGTCAAGATAAAAATAAATAAAATAAAGTCAAATCAACTTTGAAACCTACGTATTCAGAAAATACATTCGCATATTTCTTCAATTGTAAGATGCCATCGATTGTACGATGCATCCCTTTTTAAGAGATGTTTATGCAGGAAAAAAGTGAGCCTTAGAATTAAAGAAATATAGTGCATATAATTTACAGTGCTTTTCATTTGCACTTATTTCATCCCTTCCCTCATCACAAGATCTCTGGGCATGTTGCAATAAAATCCACATGGCAGTTTAAAATGTATCATCCACATAATATTGAAAACAATAAAGATAATGTAAAAGATAAAAAACATATTAAGTCGTTGAAGAGTTTTAAAAATTGAAATTGAAAATATATGAGCCACTCTATAAAGATGAAGGCTCGGAAGGAAAAAAAGGAAAAAGCAAGGCAGGGACATGGTTTTTCATGAGGATTTTTTGAGAAAAATGGGGAACTGATCATGGATTTGAATGGTGAATAAAATAAAATTAAATCCTCTTCCAAAATCTTTGCTAAAACTTAGATAAGAAAACGTACCATATTTACTTAAATCTAATCCTCACCTTTTTTTTGACAAATTACCTTGCCAAAACTGGGGTGTGCATTAGATTCGCTTAATATGGTAATCTTCGTGCTGAGCCAAAGTAAATGGGAAAGCTGCTTCAGGAGCAGCTGGAGCTCCTATTTGAGCGATGCCATCTATAATTTAATTGTCGTAGCTCAATGCTAAGATTTGTAGTTTGATGAGGCATCAACATTCTTTGGCAGAGAAGGCTCAAGACCTTGTAAAACTATAGCCCCATGACTCCATAGCATCGAGCCAGGGCAGTTAAGGTGGAGTCATTCTACAGCATAGATGAACCCCAAGGTTCTATTTTCCATTGCTGAAAGGTTTGGTGTCCTAACACTTTTGTGCTTTAAAGTTTACCTGTCCAAACATATCTCCCTCTATGAGCCAGCTAGGACGTTAAGATTTTTTGGGGAGGCCCTTCTCCTGGTTCCGCCTCCCTTGCAAATGCAGTTGGTGGGGACGAGAGAGAGGACCTTCTCAGTGGTAGCCCCTCTGCTATGAAACTTCTTCCTGAGTGAAAACAGATCAGCCCGCTCCCTCCTGACCTTCAGGAAAAAGACATGGATGTGGGATCCTCAGAGGTCACTACCTCTGAGGATGCTTGCCATAGATGCAGGCGAAACATTAGGAGAGAATGCCTCTAGAACACGGCCATATAGCCTGAAAAAACCTACAACAACCCAGTTGCCTATATATGTTAGCTGCTCTGAGAAGGGCAGGGTATAAATATGGATGATGATGATGATAATAATAATGATAATAATAATAATAATAATAATAATAATAATAATAATAATAGCTGGAATCCTAAGCAGGCAGCAATTTTAACGGCCATATTACATCAGTGCACATGATTTCACTTTCAACAGATACATGAACCACTTGGCAAGTCTGATCTTTTATAAATGATAACAGTATAGAAGTTGTTTTAAAACAATGCATCACAATAACCTTTGCTCCATATAGCACATGATTTGTAATATGACTCCGAAGGGCATGCTAATTGCATAAAGGGAGCATGATCAACCTGATATAAAGGTTTGTTTTGCCCTTTGTTGAAATCACTGCTGTTTAGATTATTTTTATTAAGAGAGAAAACGTTTTTACCCCTTCAGTGACAGTTCCATAACGTATATAAACAATGCAGCTAGCTATAATGCATACAAAAAAACAAAAATTAACACACTTACGTTTCTGCCTGGTATCTCTACAAATGCACCCACTTCCAAACCTAAACCTAGAGCAACAGTGAAAACATTATAATATTTAAATTTATTTCACTTTATTTTGAATATTTTTCATAATTTAGGAGACATTACGAGGCAACTGGAGTAATGGTAGGAAGAGGAAGATGCCTTCTCCATCAAAGGAAACTTGTCTTTGGTGCAAACATGTCCTCCCACTACTAAATATGTTTATTTACTGTTGCTTCTACTAGCTCTACACCTAATGCTTAGGTCTGCTAATATAAAGCAAAAGGCTGATTTCTACTAGCTTTAGTGATCCAGGAACTTGAGCAAAGCACTAGCTGTTACTATTCCCTTCCAGAGGCATTTAGGGAATGACAGCATAGCAGCGAGGGAGGACAATGATTATAGTTGTAGCTCCACTTATTTTTTGCACTGCCAATGTTGCTATTATTTCTGACAGCTTTTAAATGATAAATAAAAGGAAAAAATAGACATTTCTTTAACCACCATAGTTAGCAACTTCTTCTATGCTCCATATCATAGAAAAGGGAGGGGGCTTAGATCAAGATAATAGAAGTAGCTTTCTTTAACTCACAGTGGGTTAAAAATAGATGAATTCACAGCACCTATTTCCACCATGCTTTATTTTATTTCTACTCTTCCTTTCCAACAAGGAAATAATGTGATACATTTAGTGAGAGAAAAGGACCAAAGTAAGAACTGAGAAGGCATCTTCTGCGAATTACATAATTGGAGCTATTCATATTTTTTTCCATTTTAAAAAACAGTTTTGAGAACAATCGGGATTGTGACTACAGCAGACTTTCCAATGATTTTTAGCCTATGCACTGAAAATTCACTACAAGAAAAATAACTCTTTCCCAGATAGGCATAAATGACAAGATAAAAAAATTCAAGCAAGTAAGAGGGGAAATCATTGTATATTTCTTCATAATTAGTAAAAGCAAACTTCTTATTGTTGTATGCCTTCAACCTGGAGCCACGGTGGCACAATGGATTGAACCCTTGTGTCGGCTGAACTGCTGACTTGAAAGTCAGCGGTTCAAATCTGTGAGACGGGGTGAGCTCCCATCAGTCAGCTCCAGTTTCCCATGCAGAGAATGAGAAGAGCCTCCCACAGGATGGTAACACATCCAGGCGTCCTCTGAGCAACATCTCTGCAGACGGCCAATTCTCTCACACCAGAAGCGACTTGGAGTTTCTCAAGTCAGCTCTGACATGATTGAAAAAAAAAATGCCTTCAATCAACTTATTTCCAACCTATGGTGACCATAAGGCAAACCTGTGACAGGGTTTTCTTAGAAAGATTTGTTCTGAAGAGATTTCATATTTCATTTTTCTGAGGCTAAGGTAGTGTGATGTGCCCAGGGTCATCCCATTTGGTTTTATGTATCATGCATGTCTGTTTCATCCAGTACATGCCTTCCTTTGCCTGAGCAAAACAGAAACCTATGTCCCGCAAGAAAAGGAAAAGGAGTCATGATCCACAGAGTAAGCGAAATGGTGCAGCACACAGGACCTGCTCCTTTTCCTTTTCCTCCTGGGAACAAGGCAGGTAACTCTCAGAGACCACAGTGACTGCTCACCATCTTCCTCTCGAGATAATAGTGATCTTTACACTTTCACGGGAGGGCTATGCCCTTTATCCCTGCAAAAGCAGAGAGCCAACTGTTCAAATTACGCTTAAACAAGTTTCTCTCCTCCATATAAAACATACCCAACACATTCTGGTATTCTCCATCTGGAGTAACAACTTGTGGACAATCTGCATGTCTAATACCTGCAGGAAGGACTGGACAGTTTATCCCAGATCTAGGGAGGGAAAAGAAAAAGTATTTGACAATACAAGAAAAAGTATAATTACAAAATGCTACACAATTTTGGCCGATTTGGCCTTGATTTTAATCTCCAATTTATACAAAGCTTGATATACCATATATACTCGAGTATAAGCCTAATTTTTCAGCCCTTTTTAGGCTGCAAAAGCCCCACTCAGCTTATACTCGAGTGAGGGTCCTGGCGGGAAGGCATAGGAATGAAAGAAGCCCTGGGTTGCTGTGCCGATAGGGGAAGAGAGGTCACGCGTCTTTGTCTCCTCAGTCCTTCCCAGTTCCTCCCTTCCCACCTCATTTTTTCCCCACTTTTCCAGCACCCCTTTACAGTAATAGCGAGGGATGGGGGTTACAGTGCAGCAACATATGGCGGCCCCATGAATCTCACCTGCGTTTTGGCACTTCGGTGTTGCGCTCACAGGCAAAAAAACAAATAATTTGTATTTTCCTGGTTTGTAGTGGCTGTGTAAATGCAATGCACAGCTTTGTTGTTGGAAATGAGTAGCATTTCATGGCAGGAAGGATCAGGGGGCCTCTCATCAATCTGTGCAACCCCCCATCCCATGTTCAATGTCAAAGTTGACTCTGTTTTTGTGAAATAAAAGACAAATCTTTTAAACCTGGATTTAAGTCCTATGGGATGAAAAAGAACTGAATTGGATTCCAATCCTGCAGATCATTGGGTGTTTACTATGCAGATAATCCCTAAAGAGAGCAGGCAGAGATAGACAGACAGGAGAAACAACTACTACCCAACCTACAACTCCCAAGGAGCACCATTTCTGAATCTCACTTCCCACGTCGCTCAGAATACAACAATTTATTTATTTATTTATTTACAGTATTTATATTCCGCCCTTCTCACCCTACAGGGGACTCAGGGCAGATTACAATGAACACATATATGGCAAACATTCAATGCCAATTTTGACATACAACGTATACAGACATACACAGAGGCTATTTAAGTTTTTCTGGCCGCCAGAGAAGCTGTCGTTTTCAAATATACAATATACAATGTGATATATGTTGACATTCTGAGTTAACAGATCTTTCCTTTCCTTAGGCATGGGAAATTCCTTTGCAGACTCCTAAGCCTCTGGCTACTTACTATGATGCATAATTTCTCAATATTTTTTCTAAGTGTTTGAGAAACAAAAAAACTTGACAATTTTGCTTCTGATAAAAGTACGTTAGAAAATAAAGGCATTGCAAAAGCTTTTTCAGCAACCTCTAACTTGGCAAACACTTGAGGCAAAACCGCAAGGCCCCGTTAAAGGTTGCTGAAAAAGTAGCAATCAAGAAGCCATACTAAGATACCAATCATGACCTCTGTATAGTCTAAAAACATAAGCTACATAAATACATAATATACAGCTATCTAGATATCAATCTGTGAAGTTTAGTCCTGAAGAACAAGTTGAGGAATTCTGGTTTTACTTGTCCCTGAAGTGAACATAACTAGTTCCTCATATTCATTAAGATAACTGCAAAACATTAATTTTACGGACCATGTGCATTGAAGAAACATGAAAAGAGACTCATTGCGTATTCTCAACTCTCTTTTATGTATATGTGTGTTCATAACATATCAACCTGGTAGGACTGCTGATCAAAAGGTAGGTGGTTCGAATCCAGGGAGCAGGGTGAGCTCCCATCTGTCAGCTCCATCTTCTCATGCAGGGACATGAGAGAAGCCTCTCACAGGATGGTAAAACATCCGGACGCCCCCGGGCAATATCCTTGCAGACGGCCAATTTTCTCACACCAGAAGCGACTTGCAGTTTCTCAGGTCACTTCTGACATGAAAAAAAAACCAAGCTTGAAATGCTGATATATCAAAGTTTCCCCCCTTCTGGCTAATCATTTTGATAGTTGGAAGCTGTCTTACCTTCTCCTTTTAGGTAGTAACCACTTGAATATAGGGGAATAATTTATAATCTCCAGCTGCAACCAGTGAGGAGGAAGGAAGTGAGTTGGTAGAAAGGAACATGGGACAGAAAGTCCTCAACTGTTGCATAGCTTTAAGGAAAGGAAGATAGCTACCTCTAACATAATGGTAGTAAGGTATTCTGTTGATCAAAGAGAATGCAGGAGCAGCAGCAACAACCAGCGGAAGATGTTATATATTAGGAAAAATGGACAGCCTGTCTGAAACTCACATGTGTGTATTTTAGCTGTTGCTGTATGTTTATTAATATAGTGAACTTTCTTTGTACCTTTTAGTGATGTGTAATAAAATTATTCATATTTTCCGTCACCACTCTGAAATCTATGAGATATCGAATAGCACAGAAATGTATCTGTTAATGACTTGACTGTATTATGAACCTCTGAATCCTTTTCATTTCAACAAACTCCCTACCTTGACTAAAGGTCCTTGATTGCTGCATCTCACTATCCATACAGTTGGAAAATTAGTCCTTGAAAAAACATTTGTTCATTTTCATTATCATATTTTATCCCCCATTTATATGAAACTGGTTGGTTCAGTCACTAGGAGTTTGAAGTTATATGCTATTAGTGTTAATGACATTAAGCTCTATTTCTCCTGGTCAGCAGAGTTAGCTGGGTCTGCGCAAGTGTTGGATCAGTGTCCGAGCGCTGTAATGAGGTAAATGGAGACCAATAAACTGGATAAGTCTTTGCAGACTGAGTAAAGAGTAAATCCTGGATGGGGATGTACTCCAACTGAGCTTAGGAGTACTATGGCTCAGAGCGTTTGAGGTCTACTTTAACAGATTTGCCACCAACAGCCTTTCTGGTACATGGATATCACTGTACCCTCCTCATTAGAGCACTGCTGACCAGGATATCATAAGACACCATATAACACTCAAGGTGACTTAAATGGCTGCCAATGTGTTTATAGTATGGAGCCCTCGGTGGCACAGTGGGTTAAACCGCTGAGCTGCTGAACTTTGAATCCGAGGAACGGGGTGAGCTCCTGTTGTTAGCCTCAGCTTCTGCCAACCTAGCAGTTCGGAAACATGCAAATGTGTGTAGATCAATAGGTACCACTCCGGTGGGAAGGTAACAGTGCTCCATGCAGCCATGCCAGCCACATGGCCTTGGAGGTGTCTAAGGACAATGCTCTTCGGCTTAGAAATGGAGATGAGCACCACTCCCCAGAGTCGGGCATGACTAGACTTAATGTCAAGGGGAAACATTTACCTTTACTATGTTTATAGTTTGAATTCAAGGTGCCTGTGATGATTAAAATTTTGAATTTAGGACATTATATAGCCGAAGAAGCACCCCTCACCATATATGCCTGCTCAAGGAATGAAGTCTGGAGGGGCCCTCCTTTGTCTTACATTAGGAGAGTCAACACAATATTTGAGGACATGGGGAAAGGCTTTCTCAGCTGTGACATTCCAGCTATTCAATGTCCTCTTAGATGTCTAACTGACAACAATGAATGGCTGTTTGGAGTCCAACAGGTTTCTTTCAAAATGCCCATGGAATCTCTTTTACCCCATTTCGCCAGTTTTTAACACTGTGAGTATTGTGCATAATTAAATTGTTTTAACATGCTTTTAGTCTGCTAAAACTATTGTTTTAGTTTATTTTTAATTTGTTTAGATCCATTTTGTAGGAAACCCTGAGATTTTGTGATATGGGGTATGATATAAATATTTTAATAAATATATTGGTCTTACTGGAGCAGAGACGGAGAATCTTCCTTTTCATCACTCCCTGGGGGTTGCTGGAAGAAAATATATTAATCAATAACTTGGGGGGGGGGGGACTGAATTAATTGCAGAATAATTAGATATACATGCATTAGCAATGGGATTTCATTCTCCAGATCAGATCTGCACAACATGTTCCCCCCCAGGCCACACAAGACATTCTCACAGAGGGTCTTGGTCAAGACAACCATTAATTAATAAGTAGCTTATGTATCTAGCATTGTCTGGATATGCATTTTCTAATGTAAATTATTTAAAATACTCATTCTTTGTGCTATAATGTCATGGTTGCTAAGTGGTACAAGCTTCAACACATTTTCCAGGCTTTCTTACTGTATACATCTAGTTAATTAGGAAAGTATTTTCTTCACATGGGTGTTATTCCATAATAAATAAAAATCTTATAATGTGTAAGTAATCGATATTAATTGAAACTTCCTTTTTTATAATATGGTTTATTTGCAAAATAGTTTGATCATTAATTACACCTTTATTTGGATAATAAGGTGCTAAAAACCTATTTGCAGCCTGAAGAGGTTTAGCCTATTTTAATTTCGGCCCCTTACTACTCTCATATTGTGCAGGTCTACTCCAGATGGAAGATTATCTATGCTTACAAGCACCCACCATATATACTCAAGTATAAGCCGACCCAAATATAAGCCGAGGGACCTAATTTTACCATAGAAAACAAAGAAAACTTATTGACTTGAGTATAAGCCAAGGATGGGAAATGCAGCAGTTACTACTAAATTTCAAAATAAAATAGATACCAATAAAATTGCATTAATTGAGGCATCCGTAGGTTAAATGTCTTTGAATATTTACATAAAACTGTAATTTAAGATAAGATTGTCCAGCTCTGATTAAACCATTATTCTAACCCTCTTCAATGTAAATGTGCTTATGTATCCTTCCAACAATAATAGAGAAAAATAATGGAAATGTAATAATAATAGTAATAATAGAGTAAAATAATACATGTAATAATAATAATAGAGTAAAATAATAAATGTAATAAAAATAATAATAGAGTAAAATAATGTAAATGCAATAATAATAAATAGAGTAAAATAATAAATGTAATAGAAACAGAGTAAACAATAAATAACTTTGACTCAAGTATAAGCCCCGGGGTGGGGGTGGGGCTTTTTCAGCCTAAAAAAGGGCTGAAAAACCCAGCTTATACTCAAGTATATATGGTAATTTACACCTAATTTAAACCTTTCGAAGGCTAAAAAAAACTTTTTCGTTTTTCAGAATCCCAAAACATTTTTGAACGAGTAAAGCTCTTAATGAGGTACTAGCATGATGGGTCAGTACACTTGGTACATATTTAATATGTTATTTCTCTTCATACTTGTATCACTTGCAAAGCCTTGAGCTGCTTACATCATTCATCCCAGTAATGATATATGCAGACAAAGTTGAATTGAACTATCTATGTTGAAGTGAGATGATTTCCCTCTTCTCTTTTTAGTTTACAATGTGCCCAAAATCATTCAGATAACTATGCATGGGCAAGTAAAAAAAATGTGGAATTACTTGCAAAGTTAGTATTTTTTAATGAGGATCTTGTGAGGTTGATGCACAACTGGAATAGAATGATTGTATACTTCCAGTGATTGTGTGGGGACATCATAGAAGACAAATCAGGAAAAACTGAATTACTCACGCTTCCTTTAATTGATACACTCTTACACCAATTTTAGTTAATTTGCATTTAGTAATTAAGAATATTCACACATTAGTAAAATTTTAGAAGGGATGGACTATAGCACAAACCGTTTGAGAATCACTTTATTAACTCAATTTGATTATTTTTTAAATATTAAAAAGATATTTCAAAAATAAGTCCTATGTAATTTAACATGTCTGCAAAGTTGATTACAGTAATGTATAAAAATGTAAATTTATTTAACAGATTACATGACTGATGAGCTTGGTTTTCACTTGAAAAACATATTCTGTTTGTCATTGTCTACCACTCAATTTTGGCTTCAAATGTATACTCCCAAAGTGCTTGCTATCTATATCAATACTCCTGTAATCATTCAATGGAGAAGGCCAGCATTTTTTTCTTGCAATGAAAAGAATATTATAAATTTGTTTTATTATCATATTTGTATAATTTTCTGCAAACTCACCATGGACCAGCAGGTGATGGCTCACTGACTAACACAGGTCTGCGGGTTATTACTTTGAGCAGAGCTGCCCTATAGTATATCACTGAGTTCCTTAACCAACAGTGAACAAACATTCTCTTAACCTCAAGCTTCACACATATCAGAATTAAGTGAATATATCTAAATATATACATACAAGATTAATTGGATCTTTTCCCTTTAGGATTGGTAGATTATCACTAGGTTTGAAGATGATCTGGATCTCTGGAGATAACTCTCCTACAATCACAGACAAAAAGATTTAATGCAAATGGCTACACTTAAGTATTATTGTTCGGTATTCTCAAAGAAAAAATATCTTATTTCACTGAATAATAGTCTCACTTTCCCCCTTTTTCAGGAAAAAGGGGATGAGACTATTATGCAGTGTATAATAATCCCTTTGTGGGAGCAGCTGCAAAGTTCACTTGCCCACCTGCCTCTTCCCGCCAAGCTACAAAGCCTCTGTAGCCCAGAAGGAAAAAAATTGGGGTGAGCAAGTTTGCCCACTTGCTAGCCTGTTACCTCCAAGATACAGAATCTTGCCTTGCCAAAGCAAGGTGAGGCTAGTTTCTGTAGCTTGACTCAGCTCAAGCCCTGTAGTGCCAAAAGAGCAGTTGCCAAAAGTTGCCCTGTAGTGCCAAAAGAGCAGGGATTTGTGACTATTATGCAATGAAATATGGCACATCATTAATAATATTAAGTGTCTCAGGAAAAAATAATCCTAGCCATTGTTTTGGTCAACTTTAGATTCTGTTTGGTTATTTGGGGTGCCGATTCAGAAAATTGCATTGGACAGACCACATCAGCTTTAGTTTCTGATACAGAACATATGCCATCCAGTAGTCGCAATCTGCTCGCCCAAAGAAAATCATATTTAATAATCTAGAGATGTGGACCTTATTTTAGGTCTGGGGAGCCCCTGGTAGCGCAGCAGGTTAAACTGATGAACTGATGAACTTACTGACCAAAAGGTCACGGTTCAAATCCCAGGAGCAGGGTGAGCTCCCAAAAAGAGTTAATGCAGCCCCAGCTCCTGCCAACCTAGCAGTTCAAAAACATGCAAATGTGAGTAGATCAATTGGTATTGCTTCTGAGGAAGGTAATAGTTCTCCATGCAGTCATGCCAGCTACACGACCTAGGAGGTGTCTATGGGCAACATCGGCTCTTCGGTTTAGAAATGGAGATGAGCACCACCTCCCAGAGTCAGACTTGACTAGACTTAATGTCAAGGGGAAACCTTTACTTTTTTATATACTCATGTATACATCCAGAAATTTTAATCAACCCTAGCCCATCCCCCACCCCACTCAAACTGAGTCAATGTAAATACCGCATGACAGAATCCTGCGGCACTCCACTCGTGACTTCTTTCCCGAATGAATGAACCCATTGGGTTCATTCACTTAGCCAATTACAGATCCACCTAACCGTAGTTTTGCCACTACTTTGTTTGCCATGTAGATTATTGTCTGTTGGTGTTTTGTTGTTGTTGTTGTTGAATCTAGAAAATACACTTAATATATTACATAATTATGCATATGAATCAATGAGAAATACACAAGTTCCCAGTATCAGTCAATTTTCCCAAAAATTGTATGCAAGATGAACTACTTTGGCAGGATATCATTTCCCATAAATATTCCTTATTTCTATTCTGTTATGCATCAACTTCATCATTATCTAATGATGCAAGAGAATGTCAAGCTTGTGGCTGTGTTTAGTTTTCTCAAAGCCTTGGAATGCCTCCACACAAGGCTTTTTCCATGCAATTTTGCTGCCATGTTCACTGAAGTTTACTAGAGATTCATCTGTTTGACTTGTAGCTAACTATCCCCATTGTTTCTTATCAAGTTTTTTCTTATCAGAGAAAGCTCATCAAGCAAAAAGATGAGATAGCTTCACAAAACATTTTAATTATGAACAGAGGAATGTTTCCAAAATGAAAGCAGGCTGATTCCTACAGTTCTATGATTTGTATTGTTTTGTGTTTGTGTATAATGCCATGTGGTTTATATGCAGTGTAGGAATTTCGTACTATAAATCAGTTATGTCCTTGGTGTGCCTGCCAAGCTCCAGATCTAATCTAATCTCTGTGATCACCCACTGATTTCCCTCAGTCAGTGCATCCACTGATTTCCCTAGACATAGCCAAAAGGGAGAGCATAATCATTGGAGAACGATAGTAAACATTATTTCGCTAGCATTGGAAACTACAGATCACTTCCTCATAGGGCGCTTCCACACATGACTTAAATTTGTGCATCATTTCCTCAAGCCAGGAAGGTGCCAAAAGGACCAGAATTGCAGCTGGTTAAGTTTTTAAAAACTTTTTAGACGTTACTTTAGGGTTTTGGGAGAGGGGATGGGTGCCCTCTAGGTTTCTTTCTTTTTGGCGCATTGCACAAATCACAAATCAATGTAGAATATATGCCTAACAAATTGCTTCTTTTAGTCAGAAACCACAATTATCAATACAAATCCCTTGGAAATATTTAGGGATTTATTTATTTTTTTGTCGTGTCAGGAGCGACTTGAGAAATTGTAAGTCCCTTCTGCTGTGAGAGAATTGGCCGTTTGCAAGGACGTTGCTCAGGGGACGCCCGGATGTTTTGATGTCTTACCATCCTTGTGGGAGGCTTCTCTCATGTCCCCACATGGGGAACTGGAGCTGACAGAGGAAGCTGATCCACACTCTCCCCGGATTTGAACCTACGACCTGTCAGTCTTCAGTCCTGCCGGCACAGGGGTTTAACCCACTGCGCCACTGGGGGCTCCTTTCAATTTAGGGATTGAAAGGGGAACAAACATAGCCTACATTCTCCTTGATCAATCAACAGCTCTTAACACCACACATGCAAAGCAATCTAATATGTGTCACAAAACACAGAAAGCTTTCAAGTTTTAATTAATAGGAAATTATTGAGAAGAAATAATACGACAATGGCAAATGTTGATGTGACAACAGAGTCATTATTCAAAATAACTTACAATGCATTAGTCAGTCATAGTGATAATGATTTCATCACTGAAATGACAGGCTGCATATCAAAGAAATGAGGCATCAATCTCATCCCAACTATCAGACTTTAAACAATTGTCTACTTTGTTATTTTTAAAGCAATACAGATGATTTTCCATATTTTTGGCATCCTATTAAACATAAGACATCTCCAAGCTGCATTTCTTTTTAACATGACCAAAAATTAGCCAAGCAGCTATATACACTGCCAACTTCTGCTTTGAACTAGCAGAAACATATTTTCCCTTTGAGGAAAAATAATATAAGGATTGAAGGCAGCTATGGGGGATTAAAACACCTCCTTTCCACTAAAATAGTGATGTGCCTTCCTCTCGGGGCCCTTCCACACGGCCATATAGCCCAGAATATCAAGCCAGATAATCTATAATACCTGCTTTGAACTGGGTTATTTGAGTCAACACTGAGTTCAAAGCAGATAATGGGGAGTTTTGTACAGTTCTGAACTGGATTATATGGAAGTATAGACTCAGGCCCCTTCTAGACTGCCATATAATCCAGTTTATCAAAGCAGATAATCCACATGCTGGGTGAGGAGGGCCCGGGAAAGGATGTGGCCAGGAGGGGGCAGGTCAGGGCCCGGGTCATCCTCAGGTTGTTCTCCCTGCATAAGGACAGGGTTGCTCATTCCAACCTTATTTATGCTGGGAGAAGGCGGGACATGTGGCGACTGCACCGATCTTTCTTCCCATCCTCCTCCCCCGATCCTCAGGCTGTCCACGGCATTATGCCAGAAGGGCAAGACAGGCGGCAGCTAAGTGTGCTCCAGAGGGCTCTCAGCTGCCACATGCCTTCCTTGAGCTGTCCTTTAGGCATAAGGAATGGGTCACTCACACCATCCTTATGCCAAGGAAAGGGTGAGACACATGGTGTCTGAGAGTGCTCCAGAGGGCTCTTAGCTGTTACGTGCCTTTCTCTTCCAGCTTTTTGGCATAAGGACATGTTGGGCCACCATATCCTTATGCCAAGACAACAGGAGAAATGAGGAGGGCCTAAGAAAAGCGCCCAGGGGGCTGCATGCGACCCCCAGGCCTTAGTTTGCCCATGCCTGCCTTAGAGCCTCATCATAGGCAGGTCCTGGACCTCACTAAACTACAAACCCCAGAATTCTGTAGGAGGCAGCAACCTGATTTAAAGTGGATCCATGCTCTAGTGTGATGAGGTCATCAGATATATTTAGAAGAGTATTTAGTTAGAAAATAATGAGATCCAAATTTACAGAATTAATGTTAACTAGGATATTAAGAAAACATGAGCAAAAGTAAAATACGGTTACTGAAGACCAAAAGATCAATCTTACCTCCATTTATATTCCTGACTCCTTTGGTAATGTTATTTTCTGCTGCTGGTGCCATATCCTTACTAATTAAAAATAACCTAAAAACATAAACAACATCATAATCTTGTTTGTCTTCAACTGAGAGCACAATTGGTGACTGGAGCCATATCCAAAGAACACCTAATACAGGGATTTATATCATTTGACCCTTCAAATGTTGTTAGACATTCTTCACCACTGGTATGTTAGCTAGGAGTCAATGGAGATTTCATTACAAAAGCTCAAGCCCAGGTATTCTGAATTGTTACTGGTACTAGAACATCAGCCATTTTGGGTCCCATATTGGGAGAACGACACTATAGATGGATAAATAGAGATAAAGATATATCAAACAAATATTTTCTACAGTCATTTACATACAGTATCTATAAAAGACAGGGTAATTAAGTCTGAAAATTGGGGCATTTTACTCCCTGACGTGCACATTTTCTTGATAATTCTCATTTCCATTTTTCAGGCTGGATGTCATTGTCTCTCTGGCCAAAATGGTGCTAGAGTCATTAAGATGGAGGTTTTACCATCTAAGGAACCACAAGACTTGCAGAAGACAAAACATCTGGAGAAAGAAATGCTAATAAGAACACATTTGCTCAATGGGGACAGTGGGCTCTGTAGACACAATATACTCTTTGTTGAAGGGAGGTGGAGTAGAAGATTAAGGAGGATGGCAGACAGACTGGTGACAACAATTAACAAAGATGTGTTGTTGAAAACTTTCATGGCTGCAATGGGAGCCCCCAGTGGTGCAATGGGTTAAACCTTTGCGCCAGCAGGACTGATAACCGATAGGTCAGCAGTTTGAATCAGGGCGGAGTGGGTTGAACTCCCTCTGTCAGCTCCAGCTCCCCATGCGGGGACATGAAAGAAGCCTCCCCCATGGATGGCAAAACATCAAAACATCCAGGCATCTCTTGGGCAATGTCCTTGCAAACAGCAAATCCTTTCACACCAGGAGCGACTTGCAGTTTCTCAAGTCGCTCCCGACACGGAAGAAAAGTGGCTCAAATCACTCGGTTTTTGTGAGTTTTCCGGGCTATATGGCCATTGTCCCCCATACATCCAGGGAACCACTAACCACATAGGGAAACTGATGAAGAAACACAACCTACAAACTATATACAGACCCACTAAAAAAATCCAACAAATACTATGTTCAGCAAAGGACAAGAGGGATCCTCTCACCCCTGCAGGAGTCTACCATATACCATGAAGCTGTGAACAAGTCTACATAGGGACCAACAAACGCAGCACCAACCACGAATCAAGGAACATGAAAGGCACTGCAGACTACTTCAACCAGAGAAGTCAGCCATAAAAGTCCACCTTATGAACCAACCTGGACACAGCATATTAACTGAGAACACAGAAATGCTGGACCACTCTAACAACTACCATGTCAGACGACACAGAGAAGCCACTGAAATCTACAAGTATGTGGACAATTTCAACAGAAAGGAGAAATCCATGAAAATGAACAAAATCTGGCTACCAGTATTTAAAAAAAACCTCTAATATCAGGACAATTAATAAAGAACAACACTCAGAAAACAGAGGAAATCCAGAGAGGGAACAATCAGGGCCAGCTAACACATCCCAACAAAGGATTTCCCAGGCAGGAAACATCCAGGCTTTGAAGCTGCAAGGATATTAAATGCTAATCAAGGTGGCCAATTGCAAAATTCACACTTGCCCCAAGCAGACAAGAGTTCTTTCTCCCACCCTGGACATTCCACAGATAAATAAACCTCACTTGCCTAGTTTCCAACAGACCTCTCAGCCTCTGAGGATGCCTGCCATAGATGTGGGCGAAACATCAGGAGAGAATGCTTCTGGAACATAGCTATACTAAGCCCGGAAAACTCACAGCAACCCAATTAAGTGAAATCATATCCTTGTATGAATGGCAAAACTAACCGAAATGATTCCAAAACAGGAGATGATTGACACAACAAACAGAATTACAAAACAATGTAACAATTAATGTTATCATTATGAAATTAGTATGAGAACTGAGCATTAGTACATTTTAATTGCTTATTCTTGGGAAACACGTTCATTAGTACATCAAGACATTCAAATGCAACAACTGTTGCTAACACCCTTGAATCTAACAACATATCACAAATTGGCCTCCCAGCTTATTAATATAGCTCTTATTAACAAACGATTATGTATAAGTCTTCCCTGCTCAATGCTCTATTATTATAGAAATACAATTACCACACTTCCCACATGTCAGCTCTCTCTTATTTAAGAGGAATGATATTTGCATTCTGAAACTTCATCTCCTGATCCTTTTAATAAGCAACATTTGTCCAGTGCTTATTACTGCTTTGAATGGTATAAGGAGTTATTGGCAGGCAATGAAAACAAGGATCAGAGCTTTGTTTATGAACTGTGTCACCTCAGATAGCGAATCCTGGGGAAATGACAGCATGTTGTCTTATAGCCTTTGCACTGAGTCCTATCACTACTACTTAATGTGTTGGGTGCCTTTAAGGTATCTCCAATTTATTGTAGCCCTAAAGGAAATTCATCAATTTTCCTGGCAAGATTTGTTCAAAGGGGTTTTGCTATGGCTTTTTTCTGAGGCCCCGTCTATACTGCCATATAAAATCTAGATTATCTGCTCTGAACTGGATTATATGGCAATGTAGACTCAGATAAACTAGTTCAAAGCAGATAATGTGAATTATCTGCCTTGATATTCTGGATTACATAGCAGTGTAAAAGGGCCCTCATATAATTCAGTTCAAAGCAGATAATCTGGATTCGGAAACTGGATTGTATGGCAGTGCAGATCCACTCTGAAGATCCATCTAAATTGCCATACAAAATCCTGATTATCTGCTTTGAACTGGATTATATGGAAGTGTAGACACATATAACCAGGGGCCGTTCTATTCAATTCGCTCTCTCAAACCTCTTCTACACTACCATATAATCCAGATTATCAAAGCAGAAAATCCACATTATCTACTTTGAATTGGGGCCTCTTCTACACTGCAATATAATCCAAAATAATCCACATGATCTGCCTTGAACTGGATTATGAGTCTACACTTCCAGATAATCCAGTTGAAATCAGATAATCTGGATTTTATATAGCAGTGTAGAAGAGGCCCCAGTTCAAAGTAGATAATGTGGATTTTTTCCTTTGATAATCTTGTTTATATAGTAGTGTAGAAGAGGTTTGAGAGAGCAAATTGCTCAGGCTCATACAAGGGATTTCAATGGCTTCATAGGCCCCTTCCACACAGCCTTATATCCCAGAATATCAAGGCAGAAAATCCCACAATATCTGCTTTGAATTGGGTTATCTGAGTCCACACTCAGATAATGTGGGATATCCTGTCTTGATATTCTAGGATATAGGGCTATGTGGAAGTCCCCCCCCCCCCCCCCCCCCCCCCCCCCCCCCGCCGCCCCACACACACACACAGAGCTGTATAAAATCCCACATTATCTGCTTTGAACTGGGCTATATGGCAGTGTGGATTCAGATAACCCAGTTCAAAGCAGATATTGTGGATTATCTGCCTTAATATTCTGGGTTATGTGGCTGTGTGGAAGGGCCCGTAGTGATTTTCAGTGAGGGTCACATCTGCCTTATGATTGCCTTCCAAGGGCAACCCTAGATTTAGGTCTCTTCTATACTGCCGGGACTGGGAGTCAGCTGCATTAAGATCACTACTGACCGAAAGGTCATGAGTTTGAAGCCAGTCTGGGTCGGAATGAGTGTCTGACCAATTTGTGTAGTTTGTTATCAACCTTTGCAGCCTGAAAGACAATTGCATCTATCAAGTAGGAAATTTAGGTACTGCCTACGCGGGGAGGTTAATTTAACTAATTTACAATGCCATAAAAATCTCCAGCAAGCCTGCAAAGAATGAGGAAGTACTTCATCAGTGTCCCAAATAAGACAGTGAAGCAGCAGCTCCCCTGGTGGCCAGAATACCCTCAAGAAAAGCTGGAATGTTAAATTGCCTCTGTGCCTGTCTATTTATGTTGTGTGTCTATGGCATTGAATGTTTGCCATGTATATGTACATTGTAATCTGCCCTTAGTCCCCTGTGGGTTGAGAAGGGCAGAATATAAATACTGTAAATAAATAAATACTGCCACATTATCCAGATTATCAAAGCAGATAATCCACATGATCTGCTTTGAACTGGATTATATGAGTCTACACCAGCTCAAAGTAAATAATATGGATTTTATATGGCAGAGTAGAAGGGACCTCATATAATCCAGTTCAAAGCAGATCCTATGTGGATTATCTACTCTAGTAACCTGGGTTATATAGTAGTGTAGAAGGGGCCATATTTAGCTGGGGTTAAGGTCCCTTTCACACCACAAAATGGCAGCACTTTGATAGCATTTCAACAGCCACAACTTTATCCAATTTGAGTTTTGTTGAGGTATTTATGAAGTCTGGGACGGGGGGGGGGGGGAATCAAAACACCTCATGAAACTAGAAATCCCAGGGTTCCATAGAATGGAGGGGTGGCAGTTCAAGTACTGTTAAACTAAAGGTTGTAGAACTGATGCTGATTGAAACCACTTGAATTTTATTGAAACCCAGGATGGCATGGGCAAACTTGGGCCCTCCAGGTGTTTTGGACTCCAACTCCCACAATTCCTGTCAGGAATTGTGGGAGTTGGAGTCCAAAACACCTGGAGGGCCCAAGTTTACCCATTCCTAAACTATGGTGCCTCGCCAAACTACAATTCCCAGGCCTCCCTAGCAGGCATGGAGCCGTGGCAGTTAAAAGTGGCGTTAATCCGCATTAATTCCTCAGTGTAGAGAAATGGCACCCAAAGTGGAAAAGACAAGAATCTCCTTCTGAATAAGCGTGTAGAGTGGCTTGTCATACTGGAGACTTTTGGATTTTGGCCCCTGCAGTCACGTATCGTGTGAATGTCGGCTGTACACGTGTTTGCGCGTGTCACCTCTTCCCGCGGAGTTCTTCTTCGTCCGGCTCGCTGTCGAGCACGGAGCCCTCAATGATAGTCTCATCGCTATCGCTGTCCGCCATGGCTGCCTCTTGTTTACTTTCCTCAACTCTGAGCCAGAGCTTCCCGCTTTCCTTGAGGCTTTCGAAGACTGCAATTCCCATAATGCCCCGGGCCTCCTATTCCCCTCGTTGCCGAATAGGAGGCCCGGGGCATTATGGGAATTGCAGTCCTACACTTTGCTGATGCTGTAAGGCAGCGTTCCTCAACCTAGGGGCCACGAAGGGGTGTCAGAGGGGTCGCCAAAGACCATCAGAAGACACAGTATTTTCTGTTAGTCATGGGGGTTCTGTGTGGGAAGTTTGGCCCAAGTCTATCGCTGGTGGGGTTCAGAATGCTCCTTGCTTGTAGGTGAACTATAAATCCCAGCAACTACAACTCCCTAATGTCAAGGTCTATTTTCCCCCCAAACTCCACCAGTGTTCACATTTGGGCATATTGAGTATTCGTGCCAAGTTTGGGCCAGATCTATCAATGTTTGATTCCAAAGTGCTCTCTGGATGTAGGTGAACTACAACTTCCAAACTCAAGGTCAATGCCCACCAAACCCTTCCAGTATTTTCTGTTGGTCATGGGAGTTCTGTGTGCCACTCAATTCCATCGTTGGTGGAGTTCAGAATGCTCTTTGATGATAGGGGAACTATAAATCCCAGCAATTACAACTCCCAAGTGACAAAAATCAATCCCCTGCCCCAACCCCACTAGTATTCAAATTTCAGGTATTTGTGCCAAATTTGGTCCAGTGAATGAAAATACATCCTGCATATGAGATATTTACATTACGATTCATAACAGTAGCAAAATTAACAGTTATGAAGTAGCAACAAAAATAATTTTATGGTTGGGGGTCACCACAACATGAGGAACTGTATTAAGGGGTCATGGCACTAGGAAGGTTGAGAACCACTGATGTAGGGAGTGCTTTGATTGTGCTTTTCCTCCATGGCATTGTATTGAGGGCATGAGCAGCACTAAAGTTGTTTTGGCATTTGAACTGCTAGGTTGGCAGTGGACAGTGGAAGCTCACGCCGCTCCCCGGATTCGAACCTGTGACCTTTCAGTTAACAGCTCAGCACTTTAACCCACTGTGCTACCGGGGGCTCGTATTTGTGCTCTACCTGAATTCATTTACTTCGTCTCAGCAACTGCTTCCAGGGGTCCCAACCCCCAAGTTGAGAAACACTGGGCTAGATTCTGATGAGTACATTTTATTAGTTACCTTCCAGTAACTTAGTAAGATAATTATAGGTATCCTGAGGATTAAAAGAACTTTGGCTAATAATGATTTATGACGGGAGCCACACTCTGGTATTTGCCCGAAGGCACAATGGCTACATATGAGGGCACTGAAGGCACGGAAACACCCTGGCCCTGTCAATCAACAAACCAATCAGTCAATCAAACTTTATTTATGTTCAGGAAAGGACAAGAGGGATCCTCTCACCTCTACCGTAAGTGTACCTTACTTACTTACTCAGGAAGTTGGACTGGATGGCCCACGAGGTCTCTTGCAACTCAATGATTCCATGATTCCACTAACACTTTCACGCATATGTGTGAGTAATAGATAAAACAGGCCCTATCTACACATGCTATAAAACGCATGTTAAAAATGGCAAGAGAAAACCTGAAATTGGCAATAAAATGTGCTAATCAGGAATGGGTGCTGCAGAGCAGAAAGATGCACACAGCACTTCTGGAACCAGTGCGACCTCTGGAAAATTTGGATAAAGGAACCAGATATGGTACTCTCAGGAAAGTAAACAAACATGGTTTCCCTCCACAAGAAGAAATTGCTTTCTTCTTGTTTTTGAATTGGAAAATTAGCTGCACTGCTGTTTCTTATCCAATGAGCTGCAAGAATTCAGCACATTTCTCCAAACAAGCTAAGAAAAAAGGGGATTCTATTGGACTGATTGGGCATACAGGGAGCTTTGTGGACACTGCAGGGAATTTTTCATGGTTCCTCGGTGTGTGTGGAAACTCTCCAGCATGGAACTGGATTTCTTTAATCCACATTCTGATTCAGATTATGTGGCTGTGTAGAAGCAGCCCATGATGTTATAGCACTGGAGAGAGAGAGAGAGAGACTCTGGATCATGGCTGGAAGGAGGTGGGGGGGGGGGGTTGCAAAATTTTGGTTTCCCTGACAAGGCCTGGTTCTGCGGGGGGGGGGGGAGGGTGCAATAGATTTTTTTTTAGAGAGACAAACATGTAAAAGTTTTTTAGTTACTTTGCCAATTGAAAGGAAACCACATTCTCCTTCACTCCAGATGTTTCCCAGAGGCCATCTTCTCGCTACCCAAAAGTGGKTTAAACRTTCAACTGAATTTTTGCACAGAAAATTATAGAAGCTGGAAAGGAGATCATTAACATATTCATTTTGTGTTCATATAAACACTTTCTCCAGCAAAGGATCACCGCCTTGTCGGGGCGCTGGAGCTTGAGCACCTCAATGATGTCATGAGC